CTTTTATTCCAGAGAAGGGAGAAAGACAGTAAACAAGTATACAAATAAGTGACTTTTGCATAAAATAAATGTTATTGAACTTTAGCTTTTACTTTAGAGTTAAAAGCCAATGGGAGCCTACATACCAATATATATTGAGGGTCTGTCTCCATTTACAGCCTGCTTGCTTTCTCTTTGACAGGGAGGAAGAACAGAGAAGGGGCAGGGATCACCTCTACTATAAAACCATAAGCTGACAGGTTCTGGGAGAGTAACGAAAAATAAAAAGAACTATGACCGTAAACAAGCTGCACAGCACAGAGCAGGGTGTCCAGAGATCTGAGTTCCAGCTTTAGTTCTGCCACAAAATGACCATAAATAAGTCACTTAAACTCTAGACTCAATTTTCTCTTCTATTAATTATGGATAATAGATTCATTTGGTATATTTCAAAGTTTTGTATGTGTTAATAAATGTTCTTGAAAAAGAGAGCTCCATGGGAAGGCCATCAGGCCAGCTCTGTGAGGCTTGGCAAAGGAGTCCCCCTGCTCCCCAACACAGCACAGTTCATCAAGCTCACAGCTTGGCAAAGAGGATGGAGTAGAGTGAAAGTAAGATACCCCCTCCTCTCATTGGTAATCTGGGCTCAGGCAGGATCTTACGTCCCACTCCCCTACCCCCTTTAAGCCCAGCATAACACTAAAGAGCTGCCCTGTCTGTAGTCAAATAAATCTGGAAGTGGCTAGATTAAGTAGGATTTTTCAGTGTGACATGTCCCCAGGTTTTAATGTGCCAAAAAACTGCACTTTGAATCACCAATAAAAGAAAGTACTGTGTGGCATATTTCTTTTTTGGAATTTAGAACATCTTTTTTTGTGGGACTAGTATTCCTTGGAACGTGAAAAGAAAAATTGAACAAGATTGTCTTTACCTGTCCTTGTTATTCCAAGATTATGTTCTCATCTGGTTTATTTTAATAACTTCTCCCTCTTTAGTAAAAATTAAGTCCTCACCACTAACACCGCACCATCTCCACACTGTTATCTATGGTTAGCCATTCCCTTGGCTTCATTACATTTTTTTTTTATCCAGGGCTATTTTGTGGAGGAACATACCAGCACACCATTCCACAACCTCTCCTTCAGGATTACTCAAACCTAAACTGAATCTGAGAACTTTGTTTTTAAGTGGTCATTGTCACCAGCATAACAAAACATGGATTATACTAGAATCTGGAACAACTGCAATTAGTGTTCCAATCAAGTGAGATATGTGCTTTTTAAATAAATATATGTGTAAATAGCAAATTTAGGATAATTGTAATGTGATTGTGCTGCTGTCTTCAACTCCTGTTTGTCAGGTGGAGGGGCCTGTTTCCACCCAGATTTTCTCCTTCTTGCCACTCGAATCATGCAGATGCAGGCCTTTGAGTGGGTTCATAAACTGCAGCAGAATCACAGTAGTGGCCCTGAGTTCTTATGGCTTGAACCATAAGTTTATGAATATTGCTGTCAGTAGCTGCTGTCAGTAGCTACTTACAAGCTAAAACAGCAATGTGAAGAGATTCATTTATGTGCATAATGTGATTATCACTACTAAATGTTAAATATTATTTGGTAATACTAATAGGCTAAAAGGTTTAAAAAAATGAACCACTGACCCTGTAAAATGGATTCTGATGTGAATGAAGTGAGATCATAGAAAATAGTGCCAGCTAAAACCATTTATTTTTTAAAATAAAGGACTCATCCATCTGTACCTGATTCATGAGCTGAGTTGTTATTTACACCAGAAGCACCATCAAGCAGTTCATGTTTTTCATAATTCACTTGGCAAGAGTAGGACAGTAGCTCTTAGCTCTTATTGGAACATATTTGGTGTTCACATATAACTCAAGTAATATTTATCTTAACAAGAAAGAAACTTTCTCGCATGTAAACTTTATCACCTAAGAATATCATTGGCTTCTTTCCCTAAGTAATTTTTTAAATTTTCTTTTTAAAAATCCTTTTCATTTGTAATTGAGTTTGAGAGTGGAATCCTTATGCCAGTATGAGGGGTTGTTTAGAATTTAAGAAATCAGCAGAGATACAGTGCTCTATTTTGCAAAATTAACATTCCATGCCAAATTTTGAGATTTCTAAAAAATATCCTCACTAGTCTTAGGGGTCGAGTCTCAACACGGAGAACATGTTCTCAGCCTTGTTGCCCCAGGTGGCTGCTGTGGTGGATTTGTTCACATGCCCGAGCCGTGGCATCAAGGGCGTTCTCCATGTACTCAAGGCTGCCTAATCACTTGTGAAGGCAGTGCCTTTGAGTTTATGGGACTAGCTCAGCTTTTGTTTTCTGTCATCTCAGTTTATGAATACTGCTGTCAGTAGCTGCTGTCCCATTTGTCTCACTGCTTTTACTGTCTCTGTAAAAGATTTTTTTTTCTCTCTCTCTCTTTGCTCTTGGGCTTAAGTACCACCTGAAGAGAGAAGCCTTTTAAGGCCTGGGAGACTGGCCAGTGCCCTTTGTCCTTCTGTTCACCTACTAAAAGGTAGCATTGTTAACCTAATTCAGCAGGGCCCGGACTCAGTATAAACACTGTTCAGTAGAGCCAGAAAGACTAATTGAATTGTACAATACATCATTTTTTAGCAACAGTTTCAAGTGGTTGTACTTTATTTCCTAGAACATTGTCGGTTTTTTCCTCATTGAAGACATTTAGATACAGCAAATATTTAAACATGATAAATAAAAGATTTGATCCAATTCCATCTTTCCTTACTGAATTGCAAACCACCTGAGGACCAGGCCATGCCTGTTTTAACCTCCAGTGAAGACCTGCCTGCTATGGTGTCTGGCATGTACCTGTGTCTATATGATTTAAAAATAAGAGTGAGGATTATTTCATTCAGTCACCTTGTTATTTCCAATCTGGTTAAATATTCAAAGGTTTTGGCTAATTCCAGGTGCCCTTTGTGACCCGGATTTGCAAAAACTATAAACTCCTTTAACTGTGTACCTCTGCAGGATGCCATAAAATCAAACAACAAATAGTTATCTCAAAAATAATTATTTTAGGGGAAAAAATTATTTTTTAAAATGATGCATATTTTTGCCTTCCCATAAATAACATAAACTGTGTTATGAATTTAACAATATAAAAAATGATAATGTTGAATTTTATACATGTGTACCTAAATGTATGTTTTTAATCAACGCACAATAGCCATATATCTAATGATCGCATGTGTATTTTGAGGGGGTTTATGATTGTGTCTGCCTGTTGTACTCTCTTTGGTCCCACCCTGACCACCAAGTGAATTTCTTTCTATTCATCTTTCTGGACCCAAATCCAATGTCTCCTGTTTTTCCAGGCCACCCTGGCTCCTGGCCCTCTAACCAGGAGATGTAATTTATTCCTTCTTTAAGCTAGCAAGGGGCCTCATCCATACCTCTGTAGCAGAGGATAGGGTATGTGTAGTTTTTGTTTTAAATATTTGTCTTTTATACTAAACAAGGAGCCCCTTGAGGGTGAAAACTGTATCCTATTTATCTTCATTAGTACGCTTCTTGTCTAGAGTGTGAAGCATAGTGAATTTTCAATTTTCTTTTTAATAAGCACAGTTATTTGTCTTAATGCTGAATTCCAGCATTACTCCTAGAGAAGTGATAGAAACTTTTTGGAGATATTTTACTTTCCATAAATAGAAAATGAGCCTACTCAGTGTATCACTAGCCAATTTACATCTTAATAATCAGTGAATTGGCATTTAGAGATTCCAAAAAATTACCCAAATATTATGCATTATTTAAGCTACTTCCTCTGTGTCTCTGATTAATTGTATTTCCAGTGCACTATTTATTTCTACTGATGACAATGATATTTTAAAAATCAATTTTCATAATCTTATTTACTACCAGAAAAAGATATAGAGTTGGATGGATATGTTGGTCAGAGTCAGCACAAAGTCAAAGGTGTTCTAATCAGAACAACTTACTGGGCATTGAAGTATTGTGTTCAAGCCTCTTTTCTATTCAGTCACATTATTCTGCATGTAATTTTTTTTTCTTTTTCTTTTTCCTTTGAAAATATCCTTTTATTCCTTTTAATTTTGTAATATGTGTGTGGTTTACTTTTTTTAAAAAAGTGTCTACTTATTTAAAGAGTCATGGACTAAAAATACATATATGTAATTTTTTTTAGAGAGAGAGAGAGAATTTTAATATTTATTTTTTTTAGTTTTTGGCGGACACAACATCTTTGTTTGTATGTGGTGCTGAGGATCAAACCCGGGCGCAAACATGCCAGGCGAGAACGCTATCACTTGAGCTACATCCCCAGCCCCGATATATGTAAATTTTTTAAAATCAGTGTTGATTTTAAGAGGATCCTAATTAATTCTTTTTTCCCTTACTTTCCATTTTGAAATAATCACAGATCCATAGGAAATTGCATAACCAGTACAGAGGTCCTGTGTATCTTTCCCTCAGTTTCCTCCTTTGGTTACATATTAATTAGGTAACTACCAAAAGATATAAAAAACAAACTAGGAAATTAACATTAGTATGATGGGTCGCCATAGTTCAGTGTCATTTTATCACGTGTAGTTTCTTTCTTTTTTTTTTTTTAGAGAGAGAATATCTTTTTTTTTTTTTTTTTTTTTTTTTTGTAGATGGACACAACACAATGCCTTTATTTATTTATTTTTTTGTGTGTGTGGTACTGAGAATCGAACCCGGGTCCCGCCGGAGCTAGGCGAGCATCCTACCGCTGAGCCACAATCCCAGCCCACAAGTGTAGGTTCTCATAATCAAGATACAAAGTTAATGAACTTTTTCCAAGTTTTACCAATGGAGTTTCCAGAAGAGAGAAAGGGAAGCCAAAGTTTGTATTTTGTTTAAGTATGGGCTTTTTAAAAGGTGTGTTCAGAAAATAATGTTACTTTGGTATGTAAGCTTTGGTTCCTAGTTTGAGCTGGTGTGGAAAGCTGATGATTGGCCAGAACTGACTGCCGAAGCTTGTTTTGTAGGTGTCTAAGCAGGCCAAAGAATTCCTGGAGTATGTGTACGAAGAGCCCCTGATCGACATCCAGCAGGAGAACCCCATGCTGTATCTCCACGCCGAGCCACTGGCCACCGTGGTGCGGCTGCGGCAGCGGCTGAAATCGCTCCGAGCCTATTTGTTCAGTTGCCGGGCAGCGGTGGCAGAGGATCTGCGTCGCAGGTAAGAGTCATAAATATTTGATGGCTCCCGGTTGCTTTTCCTTCCTGCCCAAGGAGGATGGTTAGAAGATCTTCAAGGACCTTTCCAACGTGGACCTACTGAAATTCTGTGGGTCTGCCTCTGGGCTGGTCTTTGACTTTCTCTGAGGTCCTCTATTTGTCAAGCAAAATGGAAATCACCTCTCATCATAACTGAAGGGTTTGAACCCACGATCTAGTGCGCAGGACATTGAAGCCTTCTCTTACCAATATGTTAATTTGAGATAATAATCACAAAAGTGTCTTCACTGGTTCTTTATGTAGTGTTTTTTCTTTGTTTTTTGCTTTTCTTGGGGGAAAGTTACTTTTCACAATTTCAATTGTTATTTATCACCAGTAAACAAGCATATTTAAAATATTTAAAAACTAAACATCATTTTCAATGGGAAGTAAGTGGGTGGTTGTTCAAAACTTATTTTCCACACAAATACAGCTCCATAACTGATGCAGGCAGGAGAGCTGGAATTAAAAATACACAGGCCCAGAATTCATTTTTTCATCATTCATCTTTTCTGACCAATGGTGCAGACTGCTTTTCCATAACTGAGTTAGCTCATAGTTCATGGCACACACAAGTCCCAAACAGGCTCACATCCTTAAAATAAAATTGAAGTTAAAATGTGCTTGCTCTCATAAAATTCCTCCTTTTACAGTTAAATTTTATGGGCATTTAAATTCTCACTCTCAGTATATACAAACTAGCTTATACTTGAAATAATTGTGATGATGTTCATAAGTCCCTAAAATACGTTTTAATTTTTCAGTTTTAATAGAAATGACCAGCAGCATACATCAGTCACATTAAATGGAAGTAAGCCTACCCATACAAGAACTTTTGGAAAGAATTAAAATGCTAGAGTTTGCAATTTGAGTTCTGATTAGATCTAAAGAAGTTGGCATAACTCTAGGCATCTGAAGAAGATATTTCAAAAAGAACTAAATGTAAATAGTGAAGGATACATAATATGTAGACGAACTCTCATAAAATAATAATGAAAAGGCAGCTGCCATCAAGCAAAATACTTCTCAGTGGTAGTCATTCTTTTACCTAGTTGTTTTTCAGTATGTGCCAGAAAGTGGTTGGGATTTATTCTTAAAAATGTAGGCAAATCTTAATTTTAAAAGATCAGGGCTTTTTCCAAAAGGCAATAGAAGTATATGTCTCAAGTTAATTTACCAACTAAAATAGGTACAGGATCTTTAGTGTTCAATGTGTGTTTGTTCTGTTATTTTCTGTAGCTTTTGGCTTTGCTCAAAGCTTTTCTTGTGCCAATATATTTGTAGGTTATATGAAAATCTACATGTGGGAATCATGTTAGGTACCTTTCTGCTGTTTTGCTTTGGTTAAAATATTCCAAAGCACAGCACACATTTAGAAATTAAATAGGAGGTCGTCTCCTCTCATGGATGACTAAGAATCCCGACTCTATTCCGGCAGTCTGGTGGTTTACCACCGTGTACTGTGCCTTATGGCCAGACCACCAGGAAAGAAATGAAAGTTTTAGAAATAGGGCAATCCCAAAGCTGTAAGAATGAAGACAGCAGTCCTTTTTTCCTTTCCCTTCAAGTCCTTTCCTGAACTTGTTCATACCATTATATGAAGCAATGCCTGGATCAAGGTATTGAATGGCTAGAGGGAGAGAGGCAGTGAAGAAGGAGAGAGGGATGAATGTTGAGTGTCACTTTAGACCACTGAGCAATCGCTAATAGTACAATTTGGGGGAAGGAAATATCTTTAGATTCTTTTTCTTACTCCCCTATTTGTCACTTAGCAGAGCATCCAACACATCCAATACCCTCAAAAATACTTGTTGAGTGAATGAACAAATGAAAGAAAAAAACAGATCAGATCAATAAAAAAAAATTAGTTCTGTTTCTGAGATATCTCTCAAATTTGTATGCTCTCAGGACTATTGCAGTATCTTTCTCACTAGTCTATCAATTTTTCTTGCTCCAATCCAGTCTTTGCATTAGATAAATTATTAAAGTACAGGCATGGAATTAAAAATCTGCCCAAATCTAGCCTAGTATATTGTTATTTTCTCTCAAACATTCTTCACTTAAAGAAAAATTTAATTATTAGCCATATTGCATTCTGTTGTGGGAATTAAATGGGTTTGTACAATTGAAGTGTTTAAAGTAGTTCTTGTACATAGCAAGTACTCAGGAAATACTATTATTGTTGTTAATACTGCTTTCTTTCCTTAAACTGTGCTTATATCTGGCTTACAAAAATCTTTAATAAAATAGAATGTTTCAATGGAAGTGGGATGGAAGGCTAGCTGCGCCCAAGACTGCAGTTTCTGAAGAGTCAGTGCATACTTTAGCCATGTGGTTGTTTCATTAACAGAGTCTCCCTAAGAGAAAACAATGAGATGTTTATTCCTCTAGAAACTTAGAGGAGGCACACATTAGTTCTTAAATTTTTCATTTTTTTTTTAGATTCCCACCATTCAGATGCTATTAGAATAATGTTTGGGGTACCATTTCTTTGCAACTGAGGACAGAGAGGAGTCTGCTGGTCATCAATAACATTTGTTACAGCCTTTACAGGGGAGGGATTTTTGGGAGGCTGGTCTTGTCTTATTTCAAATCTTTTTGACTCATGTTGAAATATGACTAGTGGAATAATCTCTAAGAGGTTCTCTGAGGTGTCCGTGCTTCCTGCAGCAGCCTCCACTTAATATCAACTCTGCCTTCTTTGTCCATAAAAATAGCTGTAAATTAGAAGAGGTAATATGCTAAAATTCTGTTGCTAGAGGACACCTCATACCTATTTCTTTCACTTATGTATGGAATGGAATTTTCAAAAACAAAATGAGCCAATCATAACCTTTAGAGATGACAGACTTATCCGTCAATATTTAAGGTTCCTTTTGTTTCACCTGAGGATACAACATCTAAAGTGGGGATGGTTAAAACAATGAGGGGAACCTTGTAGACATGACTTTTATATCCCTGATAGAGATTGGAAGAGGGAAGAGTTGCTGGGGCACTGGGGGTTAGGAGCAAGGAGCAAGAGAATACAGTTGTTATCTAGTTGTAAAAGGCATTCTCTCCTGACTGGATTTTACCTCAGTATAAGAGTGGCCATTAATCTCTAGCAAGTAGGCCCAACATGCCGAAGACCTGTCAGCACCATATAAACAGCATAAAGCAAACTGTTAATATTGCTGTCGTGAGAAAACCGAAAACAGACTGATTAATCGTATTGGCGTTCAACAGCCAGGGAGCCAACTTTGGTCGTCGCCTTATTAGGGAAGTCACAGTTTGCTTTTAGGCCTTTCATTATTATGACTGTCCGTTTTCATCCTCACTGTTTTTGTTATTGTTGTTAAATGGACGCCTTGTTCTTAAACCCATACCGAAAGTCTTGACTGGCAGGGGTGATTAGTTTTGCAAAAGTCAGTGTCCTCCTTGAAGCCTAAAATGTTTACAGTGCTGACAGTTCACTGTGTCTGACGACTCCCAGATGGCGACCCTGCTGAATTAGTTCAAGGCCTAGTTAACTTCTCATGAGAAGAATTATTTACCATGTCCACACGCGAAGGTGCATGAGGAACTCTGGAAAATTGTGGCTTGCTTGGCAATGTCAGGACACATCCGGAGCAGCAGCCATTAGGAAAGTCTTTAGGAGGGACACTGAGAAAGCTGCAGGGTGCTCAGCTGAGCACAGGAGCAGTAGGATATGTGTAAATCAGAGGTCACAAATAGGCACCTCAGCTGCGTTTTGTTAGGGTTTACAGGAACAGCACCCACCAAGCTTTGAGATGACAAAATAGTTGCCAACATTTAAACAATCAGGAGTTTTTAGGACATACAAAATGAAGCTTTCTGGTTCCTCTTGGGAAATCTGAAGCTCCAATGTCACAGGGCTTCCCTTGTTCTTGTGTAGCAAATACATTGCTGCCCTTTTTTTCTTAAACCCAGTGCACTTAATTCATTTATGTGGTGCCTGGGTCCATAGGCATTTGAGGTTTTGACCCTGGATACATGTCATTAAATAGTAAGAGTAACAGAGTTTACTGATATTTCAGTTATTAGTTCCGTGGCTCTTATGGGAGGTCCATCTAAAGGGGGGCAAAAGTCTTAAATGTGGTTCTTTCACAAAATAAACATGAAGAAATTTTTAGGATTCGAAGAAATAACACAAGGTCATCTTTAAATTGCATTAGAATATGGGCTGGGATGTCCTAGTGCTTGGTTGGGCTGTTACAACATGCTCCAGAGGCATTTGCATTTGCAGGATAGTGACTTGAGGGACTGGCAGTTGAAGCAACATCCTATAGCAATTCCTTGTCACCACAGAGCTAAAGATTTCCAAGTCCAAGTGGGACAAACTGAGAAAAAGAATAAAATGGGGGCACAAACGGATGTAGTTGGTATTGTAGGCCCTGAAGTTAGACTTGTCCCTTAGCTTAGGGCTCTCCTCTATCTCTTATAACCTTCAGAGCCAGTTGTCTTGCCTATAGATGGCAATAATATTCCACCTCATAGGGAAAGCCTGAGGATTAAGAGAGTTAGTGCCCAGGACAGAGTACATGCTTAGCAAATATTAGCTGCTGTGATACACACACACACACACACACACACACATATTTTAGTTGTTGATGGACCATAGTTAATTAATTAATATGTGGTGCTGAGAATCAAACCCAGTGCCTTGGCAAGCTCTCTATCACTGAGCCACAACCCCAGCCCAGCTGCTGTGATTTTTATTATACACATATCAAAATTCAAAGGAAACAAGAGATAAGTAAGCAGGTGGGAAGAAGCAAAAAGAAGTGAGTCTAGAAGCATCAAAGAACCTGGAATTCAGGGCTTTGCCATGACTTCCTGTGCAGAGCATGCAGCATTCACAGGAGTCATTAGATGTGGACTCTGATTCTCCAGTGGTGATACAAGAAGATCCTTCAGAGACTGGGCCCCTCCTTCTAGCACATTTAATTAATGGCTTGCTCT